TATAATGGTATGCCAATCCCCTTATGATGCTGCCCTGATAAGAGCATGTGAAGACTGGGATGGGAAGCATGGTTCAGAAAATGACCACCCTAAGGAGTTTCCAGAGAAGCAGGTATGTTGTTTTTTACAAGTAATGGCCATTTGCTTGTGTATGTTTGAGCATATATATAATCTGTATTTGCCTCAGGAGTATGTGTATACTACTATACACACAGCAAAAGATGCTTTTCAAAAATTTATGTTTTCTCAAAGAACTGAAAAGTTTCTTTTAGATTGCAATATTTAAGTCAATGTAGTAAGCTTCAAATAACCATTTTAGACATGAAACTATTTGTTCCTGAGTATTTAATTATTTGATTTGTTTGTTAATGAATCTGATGAAATTATGTTCAGTGCTACATTGTCTTTGTTCAAGAACATGGCGATCAGGATCTTGAAAGCTTTGTGCTCTTGAACTTTGATGAAGCACGGAGTTTATTGGTTCAGGTGAGTTGACTTATTTTTCTACATTTTCCAGCCATTTTTTCCTGTTATATAATTTTTTGTCCGTTGTTATTGCAGGTTACAGTTGCCTTGGCTGTGGCAAAGGCTGCATTTGAATTTGAACACCGGGACCTGCACTGGTTAGTTATCATGCACTCAATTTTTGTAATAATGCTTCCTTTTTCTTGATTTTCGATTTAAGGAAAAAAAAAGAAAAATTGGTTACAGGGGGAACATCCTTTTAAGCCGGAAAGATTCTGCATCATTGCAATTCACTCTTGAGGGAAGGCCAATATATGTCAGGACATTCGGGTTGTTGATATCAATCATTGATTTCACTCTTTCGAGGATCGATACTGGTTTCAAATACTCACTTTTTTACTTTATATTGCCACATTGGAGATCTAAATTTTTACTGATTCAAAGTAGTAAACTATCATTCTTTGGCAACAGGGGAAGATACTCTCTTTCTGGACCTATCTTTAGACCCAGAACTCTTTGAGGGTCCAAAAGGAGATAAACAAGTAAGAGAGTAGTTGAGATGTCTTATTGTGGACCTGCAGTTTTATGTGCGAGAATTTTCATTTAATTATCTTTAAAATATTATATGCAGTCGGATACATATAGGAAAATGAAAGATGTAACTGAAGAATGCTGGGAAGGAAGGTATGGCTGTCAGTGTTTCCATATCTTAGTCATCAAATGTTGTAGGAAAATAGGGGTGGAAAATGGCCAGGTTTGGGCGGGTCATTAACCGGCTAATGACCTGTTTGGAGCGGAGCATACACGAGTTGGGTATTAAATGGGCAAGTCATCCTGCATCTAACAGGATTACTTTTTTTTTTTTCCCCAAAAAAAAAAAAAAATTTATTAATTATACACAAATGTCTTGTTTTTTCCTTTAAAAAACAAGTCAATTCATTTGAAACACAATAATTAGAATTCGGGTTGACCCGGATCTGTCCAAAAAATTATGATCTTGTTTTAAAAACCTATAACTTCTTGGTCTTGTGTCACATATCATCTAACCTTTAAAAAACTGTATTAACTAATATAAAGGAACATGATTCTATTTAACATTAATTTGTTTAATTGTATATATTAAGAATAATATTTAATAATATTAATCATGATATTACCATCCAACATTTCAAGAGATGAAAATGTTATTAATCAATATTTTCAAATTTATTTTTTATTATTTGTTTCAAATTGTGTTTGATTTGGTATGTGTGGTCTATGCAATTTCATCATATATGTGTTCTATTGATAATTTCTCATGTTCTAGGGTTGTAATGCGTTCAGAGTTGTGCTACAATAATAAAGTTAGTTGTATTTTGTTATATGTAGTCATTGTGGTAAAATACAATATTGTTAACAATTCTTTGGGGAGTTATATGCGGTGTTTCCAAATCTAGGTTTTTAATATTTTATTTTGAGCATGGGACATAGTGAATATGATTTTGTTAGTTTCAGAAGAATTGGGTCTGTGCAAAGTCATGATCTAGGGTTCTTGTGGATGATTAGTTGTGGATATTTTTTGTTTTCTTTTGTTTTGATTTTGAAATTCATTTATGAAATGGTTTTTATAGGTGATCCTAGATTTAGTATTGTGCCTCGCATATAAGTCTTTCATGGGTTTGGTAATTTCAAATTGTTGTCTGGTTTCTATGTGGATTGATATTCTTCTATAAGAGCAACGATGAAGCCCACAACTTCAATAGGGTTCCCCCCTTACATAGCAATATAGAGTTTACTATTGGAGTATCTTTGCTTGGCGTAGTAAAGACGGGGAACTTGGTCCCGTTTGAGTCACTTTGTGTAAATAATGCCAAGTTTTAGGTCTGTACTCATTTTGTCATCCCAGCACCTTCAATTAATGGAGACCAACATGGAGTAATGGCCTCAAAGTTCAATAAAAGAGTGGCATAATGTTGAACTGCAAAAATCAGATTCCACTAGGTGAGAAAATTTTATAGGGAGAAAATCTTGTTGTTTATGTGGAGTGGCTGTAGTTTTATTACTAAGCTTCCACTCTTTTCTTTAAATTACCATTCACTAACCTTTAAATTTACAAATATGGGGACATCACATCACACAAATGGTAATGGAGTATACGGTTTTTGAAACAATGAGAGTTTTTTTTCCCCCTAAATAAACAGTAAGAGTTTTAGAATCTGCAAAAAAACTTGAAAATTTGGGGTTGATCATGTGAATCTTCTTTTTGCCAATTTCCTTTACAGTGCTTTTTTCGTCTGTTATTTTATAAGTGCTCATGGTTATCCTCGTAGACCTGGCCCTAGTTCTCTTTGGGTTTCACCGTTCTCCCTTTAGGTCTTCCTCTGGTTTCTTCCTTGGTATAATAAGAATTTATGTAATTTAAGAATATAAACATTCTGCAAGGATTTGTTACACTTTGTTCAAATTGGGACTTGAACTCTCAACCTTCTTGAGTGGGAGATCCCTTCAAGCTAATGCATGGTGGTTCATTTTTATTTCTTTTTACTTTTTTGGAGAACTCTTGATTATGTCAGTCTGCTATTCTGAATACTGATGGCTTCCCCTGCACTAGTGATTCCATGCCACAAGTAACACAGTCCGGAAAAGACCACATATGAAAACTTTTTCTTAAATTAGAGTTTTTTTTTTTTTTTTTTTTTTAAGCATTTATTGGGAGGCCTAATTTTCAGGGCTTTGAAAATATATTGAATGTCAAAGAAACACAAAGCCCATCCACTCTTAATATTTATCCTGTACATCTTAGTTTCTTTTATAGTTACATTTTCCTGGATGCTGAATCCGTGTCATTTTTCATGACTATACAGTTTCCCCAAGACAAATGTGTTGTGGTTGCAGTATTTGGTTGATATTTTGCTCTTGAAGAAATCATACGTAAGTCCTTGGTCCTGCAAAAATCAACAAGTACATTACAACCTAACTTGATTTAATTGGGGCAGTGTCCTACTGGAGTGAACTTTTTAGAACTGTTACCAACTGTTATTTGTTACTATATTACTAGTAGGAAAATGAAAAACCATAGATCTTCACTTGAAATGTTATGGCAGGATCGAACTTCAAAAGATGTGAGAGATTTGCGTTCACTGAAGAAACGGCTAAACAATTATGGTTCAGCAAGAGAAGCAACTTCTGATCCTTTTTTCAGGGACTTGTTTGCCGATGAAGCAATATGAAGGAGAACTTGATAAATGTTATAGGAAAAGTATAATTTATAAATGACTTGAGATTGACTTAACCTTAGATATATCGCAAAGTGAACGTTCCGAGGCTCTAACTACACCATTAACACTGATGCTCAAGAGTTTTGCTGCTGAAATAGGCAATGACCTTCTACAACTTGTAAAGTTGGCTCCTCTATTTTGACGGCTTCGTTTTCCATTCTGTTGACTTGACTGAAGAAGCTAAAGTGATTGAAATGTATATAGCATAAGGTTTTTTGTGAGTAGGTCTGGACTTGCTATATCATATATGTAACAGGATTGAATGTTATTTATTGAAATGTATATAGCAGATTGTATTAGTTCATGATGGTATAATGCTTGATGATTGTCTAGTGTTCGTTTATGTTGGGTTGGTATTCATACTTTACAAAAGATCTCCCTATATATGTATATGTATGTGTATATCTGAAAAGTGATCAATTGGAAACCATTTCCATTTGTTCATCCTTTTTCACATTTTATGTATGATTTTGTATTGTGATAAAGTTCGAAATTTATTTCATTACAAATATTCTGCAAATCATGTCGAGAAAAGCAACTTTTAGATTTTCCTTTCTTCACTGCCATAGAGTGCAGTGGCAAATTGAATTATGGTGCAAAAACTTAATGAATTACGGTGCAGTCATGTTGTAGATCCATTAAAAATATCTCCTTTAAATGAAATACACTTCCTTTTTTCCAAAATTCATTATCCTTCTCAAAAATTTATGGTACAACACCTTTTTGTTTTTTTTCTTCACACATGGTGTGTGACTGCATCATTCAAATAGTGACATCTAAATCAAAAGATCAACACAACCGCTTTCTTCATAACTCTAGCATGTAGTTGACCGGACATTTTTTGGGGGACACTAGACACTGGATTAAGGATGGAATCTGACTCTGATATCAGTGAACGCTTGATGTGACACCGGATTAAGAATGAGATCTGAATCTTATGCGCTAACTTAAAAACTTAAACCATTGGATAATGGTGTGTATTCACTCATGCAACCCTATTATTTAACAAAAGGAGTAATTGTGTACGTGGTCTATTGTACCACATATAAGCCCAACTCCAAGACAAGTGGACTTGTAAATGGGATGGGTTAAATGCAATAGCATCAGGCTGCATCTGAGTATTGGGCCAGGACTTATATGTGAGCCCACACGACGACGTATGGGCTTCTGAATCATCTGTTCACTTTCCCGCTCAATCGCGTTCAAATCTCTCTCTCCGTACGGGGCTTCTGTATCTTCTTCACAATCGAATCACACTCCCACATACTGACATACAGATATATATATATATATATATATATATATATATACACACATACATACACTCACATATATTTATAGTTCTCGATCACTCTTTGCGCATATATTATGGGTTCCCAAGCAGGTAGAGAGAGGAAGCCCTAACTTTTCCTCATTTTCAGTAATTTCCGTTTATCCTTCTAATTTTGGGAGAGTATTGAAACATACACATATATATGCATTTCCATATGTTTCAGGTGGAAATAGTGTTGATCTCTGGTCAACAATCATAGCCGATGATGAAGAAGATGATCAACATCATCCAGAATCTCAGCCACATCGACCAGAAATTGCTGTGGTCTACGGGCGAAAAAGATCCGAAAAGGCCCATAAAGATGTAACCAGGTCAGTGTTAATCTTTAAAAAGTTTGAATTTTTATTGAAATTTTTGCATTTTTCACAGGTTTAGATTTTTATCAATTTGAATAATTTTCAGGAAGCAGTGTAGTTCTACTGATGAGAATCGGCCGAGTTTAGCCCTACCCAAGCGAATTAGTTGGAACCGTTCTCTTTCCACCAGGTTTTGCCCTAATGCCACGGCTTTCAATTGCTATTGCTGCTTTGCAATTTGAATGTTTCAAATTTCAGGATTATTATTCTATTTTTTTAGTTCAATCATTGGATGATCAGTCCTATTATACTGTACTTTTTTTTTTAAACACTCTTTTTTCTCTTGACGTTACTCAAGACTCGATTGTTTGTGCCTTTTTGTTGCATTTGCTGATGATATCTATAAAAAAAATTATGAAAAAAAAAAAATGATATCTAAAAGAAAAAACTATAAATTTTATGAAGATAATGCACATTTATGTCATTTTATTCTGGAAATGAACTGATACGTTTTTATGCATTTTTTCAAGTTACTCTGGCTTTTTGCTACTGAGATGAACTTCGCTTGCGTTTTGTCACTTGAATGAATAAACAAAGTGGAACATACCTATGGAGAACTATACAGTGTAATTGCCATTCTTTTGGGGACTATAATATGTTTATGTATGTGGGTGTGTATATTATATATATATATATATATATATATAGAGAGAGAGAGAGAGAGAGAGAGAGATGGAGAACTGCAGTGCAAGATCAAACAAGCTGGTGAGTTAGAATAAAAATATTGAAACAGTGTACACTCACTGTTTTAAAATAGAAATTTTGTTTACACATAATGGAATTGGATGAAGGATCTTGAACATGAGTGATATGTTAAATCTTACCGGAAAAAAGTGATAGGCTAAAGTTCACTGATAACAAAGACAAAGAAAAGTTATCTATAAAGGCAATTCTTTCTTTGTTTTCTTCTTTATTTCAATATTTTTATCTTTAGGGGATGGGATGTTAGTGATCCTTGAAGGGTGGTAAGTATCTTCAATTGTCTTGGAATCTAGTAATGTTAGGTCCTATCAAGGTTATTTGCAACAATTCTTTATTCCGGTAATAGTTGTTCCCTATGTATCATGAAGGAGGAAATGTGGCTTGGCCTGGCCAATTCTTATTTTATCTTTCGATCTACTTTCTGATACCAGATAGTTGCCCATATGTTATTTGCATAACTTGAGGTCAATATTCTGACACGACATGGGGGTTACTGTTTGGCTGTCCTAGTTGCAAGTAATTAGTAATGATCTAGGTTGATAGAGAATGGTACTATATAAAGCTTATTCCACCTAATCAAGTTGCAATTTGGATATTGGACAAGGCAATGAAATAGAGTAATTGTTGGCTTTTTTCCACATTATATCTCGTTGTACACATAATTTTTTTAACTTCCCATCTCTTCAATTTGAGTTTGCTGACTTTATTACATAGTCAAGTGAATCTAAGTCTTTCATAAGTGTAGATATTATTACCTTTTTACTGTTTCATTTCGGATATGGATTTGCATTTGCAGTTTATTTTGAGTTTGCTTTTCCCATGCTATGTTCTAGTTCTTTCTGGAAATTTCATGAGTTAGTTCTACAGACATTGATGCAATGAATCATGAAAGCAAGAATCTTGGGCTCACAGTTGTAAGACATTTACTTTAATTTACAGAGGGAGAACAAGTATTGCAATTGTTGCATGTGTGGAGCGTCAGCCTCAACAAAGGAAGCCAAAGAGAAAAACAAAACCAGCTCTTCCAAAAGTACATAACTTTACTGCTTTCCATCTTCTGTGATGCTGTCTAGTATATTATTCTTGACTACCATAGGTCCATAATGCATTTTGAATGGTAGTGTATTAGTCTTTTTTGTATTTAAACAGCACTGTAAAGTCATTTTGACACTTCCATGTGCTGGTGATTCAAAATTCATTGATAAATAGCACCAGAAATAAGTGGGCAAGTTGTTCTAATTGTTGACAGAAACATTTTTCAGTGGTTAAGATGGAACAATCTCCTATTATTAAATGTTGGGAAACTTACATATTTTCACTGACGTGATTCTGCCATCTAATGTTTCTTGTGTCTGCAGGGAAAATTTGTGCAACCTCCAAATTTGGATAAGGAGCGGGCATACTTTGAAGAGGTTGATTCCTTTGAATTGTTAGAGGAAAGCCCCTCACCCAAGAACTCTGGTACATGGGCCAAGGGCATGGAAATCGATGATGTTGCTATACCACATTTGTCCAAAGTATTAGAGAAATGGTTAATTTCAAAGAAGCTAAATCATAGTTGTGGACCTTCTCGTTCACTGTCCAGGATATTAGAAAGTCCTGCGATGCCCAGGGAATTTTTTCAGGATGATGTATTTCACTCCACAAGTATGACAACCCCAAAAAGAACATCTCTGCAAACCCATTCTGGTTTACATTCGGCCCAGAACAGATTTAATTCAAGTTTCACAAATAAGGATGTTATCTTTGAAATGTGTGGTTCTTCACAAAAGAACGATGATGGATTCCAGACTATGGGTGAGGAGGGTCAGGCAGATCTTGATGTTGCAGTTGCAAAACTCTCTCTTACATCTAGGCCTGCTACATTGGATGGTCATCAGTGGGATCCATTTATAGCTTTGTTAGCAGTTTGTGGGCAGTCAGCTCCTTCAACTATATTGGATGTTTTCTCCAAGTATTGGTTTGTGCTATACTCTAGTCAACTGGTGCTATTTCCTCAATAAATGCTTACATCTCATTCATATAGTTTTGATATTAGGTAGCAAAAGAAGTGATTGCATGTTCACCTTGTGCCTATGCTCTATACGTTTTCGTGTTTTGAACTACCAATTATCTACTGTTTATTATCCTATTTTTATTTGATGCACTTCCATGGCAATTCCTTGATGTGATTCTGTATATCGCAACTGACTCCAAAGTTGACTTTTTATGGCAGTTTTTGTTATCATTTTCTCATATTAACATCAAAGGGTTTTTTTCTTCTTCTTTTTTCCTTTTTTTTTTCTTCCATCCTGCTTGTAAATCCTTATTAAAAGGAGCCCTCTTCAATTACCATAATAAAGTCTTATCTGGCTTAAACGCGGAAAAATGTCTATGTTCCTTTTGCATTTCTTTTATTGTTTCATTTGTTTATACTTTCTTGGTTTCTTACTACTTTTTTTTTCTTTTTAAATAATTGTTGGCTGGTTGAGATACATAAGAGGATTAAATGCCGACAATTTCTACTACATTCCCGACTGCAGTTGGTAAAAATGAGTTTCAGCATGCAGTGAGCTAATAGCATAACCATTGTTTTTTACACGTTAAACCAGTAAATTCTAGTAGAGTGACATGGCTTACTTTTTGATTAACGATTGAGTTCAAGGACATAGTTTATAATTAATTAGGCTGCTTAAATTTCCACCCCTCTGTTTCCAAATTGCTTGGAGCTATGGTCCTGATAACACCAAATAGCATACCAGAAGACTTTAAAAATTCTGTATCACATATTCAAAACCGTATTACTGAATCAAACTTTTAAGTGAGAATATTTAGTGGCCCACATTGATTGGAAGCCTTGGATATAACTTTGATTTATTGTAGTCTTCTTTGGTTTTTCTTTATTTATATTTATTGGCTGAAATGCATATTAGTTCTAAGCCCCATCCTTTTAGTTGTTTGAGTAAAGGATGCTTTGGATTCTCACTTTCTTACTTATAATTGCATTAATAACCATATATGGTATTCTCATGCTGATTTTTTTTTTTTTTTTGGCACAAGTTTTTATTTAAATGTGGAATCTTCATCCTCTATTTGATGGAATATGAAAATCTCTTGAATGCAGTGACCAGGAAAGTGTTGTCAAGGTTGGTGAAGGTACATATGGAGAAGCCTTCCAGGCTGGAAAAGCTGTTTGCAAAGTTGTTCCTTTTGGTGGAGATTTGCGGGTGAACGGGGAAGTACAAAAGGTATTTATCTTATCAATTTTTATAATTTTTTTTTTGGTCATTGGCTCTGGGCTCTTAAGATAATATGTATCTGAGGAAGGGTGGTATAGAGTTTCTGTTGTTTTCTTTCTGGAATTTATTAGTAATCTAAGTGAGTGCCAAGGGTTCCTTTCTTATTATCTCAATGATGTTTCGATTGTCTTGTTGCCTATGGACAATGTTTAGTGACTTCTTTTTTCTTTGGTGGGGTTATTAATTTAAGGCCTTATTCGGTAGTTAAGCCATGTTTTTTAATATGCTTCAGAGATCAGAAGAATTGCTCGAGGAGGTAATACTGTCCCGCACACTCAATCGTTTAAGAGGACAGGAGGATGTTGTTTACAATGCCTGTACTACATTTATAGAGACAATAAAGTAAGTTTGCACACTATTTTTTCTATAATTTTTCTGCAATACAAAATTCTTAGAAAAGGACTTTCTTTATAGTGGTTTTGATGTCCATTGGGTGCACACTTAAAATTGGTCCTTTTTGAGGAAATTATGCTTGGAGTCTTTTATCTCCCTTTAGAAGGATAGAACAATGAAGTAATTGGTTGGTGTTACTATAAGTCATTTGAAAAAATGCATTGGAGTGTTAAATCCCTTCCGGCACTTTAATGTTAGGGACGCTTCATTACAAAAGGAATTGTTACGACCAAGCCTGGCAGGCTGTCTGCCAACCACAGAGTCCATAAAGATTGTATTTGATGCTTGCCCAATAGTGGAAGGTCTAGGAAGTGATTGATCCAGTGATAGGAGTCGGTGATTAAAGCCCCAATGAATTGATCAATAAATATTATGGTCCTAGTGGAGTAATTTTTTGGCATATAAGAATGTTCAAATGTTGGAAGGAGTTTAAAATCTCACTTATAAAGTTTTAAAATCCCATATGCTGGTCCACCAACCCATTTTTCCTATTCTTGGGAGAAAAAGTGAGCATCTATGAACTTTGAGCTGGTTGAGTTGGTTAGGCCTTGCATTTTGGATTTTGGCTGTGAATTGAGTATGCATGTTCAAGTTTGTGGGGAGCAACTTCATGCCAATTGTGCAGAGTTCAGGTCTGCACCTGTGCACCTCTACCAACAACTAACTGATTGGTCCAATACTGAATTGTGATATTTCCTAGCTGTACGCTTGAATTGTTGATGTCTGACCCCAAGTGAAGTTGGCAATAGGATATTGTTTATGTAAATCAGAAAACTGTCTGCTTAGTTATCTTGTTGGGTTGATTATCAATTTCCTTATACAGAAGTTATACTTGTAATCATCATGCTATTATGTTGAAAATTATTAAACTGATAAAATTATATTTTAGTAGTTGAACTTTTTAACATAAATATAGTGATTCAATTTGGTAGTCCTACAATTTCAGTGAAGTTTACTAAATGAGTCAACCCCAAACAAAAATATCTGGACAGGCTGGCGTTTCCATTATATGCTTATACATTTCTGGTTACAAGTGGCTCGCTTTTTACCTTACTCTCTGGTAACTTGAACCATGGGGTTATTTCTTAAGGTGCTTTCCATAGGTGTCATTAAGAGGCCAAGTCAACTTTGAACTCAAAAAAAGAGTTGAAATCATGATAGATATGGAATTCTAGAAATAAGATGTTGAAATAAATTCTATTCTCCATCCACAGTATAATGGTATGCCAAGGCCCTTATGATGCTGCCTTGATAAGAGCATGGGAAGATTGGGATGGGAAGCATTGTTCAGAAAATGATCACCCTAAGGAGTTTCCAGAGAAACAGGTTCCTTTTTTGTTAACATATAATTGCCATTTGCATGTTTAAGTTTGAGCATATATATAATTTGTATTTACCTCAGGAGTTTGTGTAACGACCCAAACCAGGGGTCCGGATTGCTAGTCGGGTCCTTAACCAAACCCGAGGACACACTAGGGGTAAAATGGTCATTTCATAATGTGAGAGGGTAATAAGACCTCAAACTAGTCAAATGAAGTCCAAAACAATTATTCTAGGCATTCCATAATGTTCGGTGAGATTCTACGGTCACTGGATGTGATTTCCCAAAAGTACCTTTACCCGGTTCATGAAGAATCCTGACACTGTCCCACTAAAACGACCATAACTCCCAACATGAATGGAGTTTGAGGATGAGGTTGGTCCCATTAGAAAGTTAACTCAAAATCCTTGAAAATGGACTCAAGAATGACCCTATTTGGGTTTGAAACGAAAAAGTTATGACCGTCCAAAATTAAGTGGTCAAAGCTAAAAAAAAAATGAAGGGCAAAATACCCACTGGAGGGCTGGAACCGGTTCCCAAATCTTGCTACCGGTTCCACATGGACAGAATGTCCAAAACGTGAACCAAGAACCCCTTGAACCGGTTCCCGGATGTGGTACCGGTTCCCTAAGTCCAGAAACTAAAAAAATGCCCTGAAAGCCTAAAATCATGAACTTGTGCACTTAGGCACTCCTATGGTCCATTAGTGACCTTAATCCAAGTTCAAAACCTGTCCCAACACAATCCAAAATAATGATTTACATGTCATGATCACTTACTTCAACAACTTAATAGCATGCAACATCATTTCTTCCATTCAAATAAGATATATTGCATAGTCCTTACACGGTGTCCAAATTTGCATCAAAATAGAGTCCAAGGCTCATAGTTAAATTACATGGCCTTACCAGACACTCTTAATACATATCAAAATGTTGCTTTACAAAAAAAATGGCCTCAAGTCTACAAAGTGGTTGCAAAACACATTACAATTTCCTTTCTCATGCTTGTGGAGGGATGTCCTCCACTACCTCCTTCCCGAGACCTGAAAAATGTTAATAATAAGGGGTAAGCAAAATTGCTCAGTAGGTGGTGCCTATGACACACCTCTTGAGACCCCGCGAATCTAAGCAATGAATAGAAATAAAGGGAAACGGGATCATGTTATACCGAGGAAGAATACAATACAATTACAAGGCTAAAAATAAATAAAGTCGTGCCATGAAGTGCAATGCCGTGCTATGTCGCTCCTCGTTTCAAAACCATCCATCACTTTTCAAACTGTTGACATTACTCGTCCTTTGGTGACTCCGCAGCGACACGAGAGAAGGATTGGCTACTGTCCCTGACCTTTGGTACCTCCGTGGCGTCATTTGGGGTCCAGATAGCTCAACCACGCTAGGGTGATTCTTCTAGTTCCCTCTAGGTTATATTAACACCACGGCCTTTTGGTGACTCCGCGACGACCTGGTTTTTCACAAAATCCTTTTATCAAAACTTTTTCCCAAAAATCCCCTTTCTCTCATTTATTTCAAAACAACTTTCCCAATTCTTTGCTCAATGCCATGCATGAATGTCTCATATATATTTGAATGCCGTGCAAATGGAGAAATCCATACTCATCAAGATAACAATCAACAATATACATGCTTTACATCAAAAGAAAATTCTAAAAATATATCTCATACTTTCTAATCACAAAATTCATCACTTATAACACAATAGGCATGAAAACTGTAACGACCCGAACCCGTGGGTCCGAACCGTTAAACCGGTCCTTACTCGAACCCGGGGTCAACTAAGGGTAACACCGTCCTTTACTAGGCTCATAGGTGGTATACGGGTCATTCTAAGGTCCAAGGTATTTCAAGATATGACTAGGGAGGAAAAGTCAAAGGTACTGGTCAAAGGGGCAAGATCAGCCGGCTGATGGCCCTCCGCCGGCCGGCTGAAAGTGGATGGTTGGTCGGCTGAGATGATCATTAAAACTGCATGCTCTCGGGACTTTGTCAAGGTAAACTGTCGGCCGGTTGAAGATAGAGTTTCGAGATGCTTATCAGTCAGCTGACATGCCTTGTCAACCGGCTGATTAGCCTTGGAATGCTGCTAAGTGCAGCCTGAAGGTCCAAAAACTCTAAGCTCTTTGTGAGCCCAACCCAATGCACAACATGTCCCAAGCTCACAACAACAATAATACATACCACGAGTCATCATCCTCAGTGAAATTAATCAAATAACCCATAGTCGTCTCACCCATCCCAATATACCAAACATGATTGCCACATGCTTCCATGGTCATACACAAAATACATCAAATTGCTGATTAGAGTACGGATACATTGTCAAATTATAACAATAAAATGATTACATAGAATTTTTTTAAGCTTTACAAAATATACATCTCAATACAGTGTGATACACATAAAATCCTTTCCAACCCCGTCCATGCTCGTGGAAGATCAATACCCACCAGTTCAACCCCGTGACCTGAAAAATTATAGAGGAGTGAGCACAACGGCTTAGTAGAGATTGCCTACGTGGCACCTCCTCAAACAAAGTAAGTAATCCAATGTTTTACACACAATGAATAGGTAAAAGGAGTGGGATCATTCGAGGGATTTTATATATGGCACTTAAATTTTCCAAATAACCCTCATCACTATCACGTACAATGCAATGCATAAATGACAATGCAACCCCGCATCACACCATACGTTTTCTTGTTCACACATCCTATCCATACCATCATGTATCCACACTTCACTTCCCCTCTATCACACATCTACACCCTCACTTCTTTTATACTTATCAATATCCTCATGCCATGCATTTGGAGTATTTTAATTTCAATCATTCAATTTTCCACATGTCTTCATTATGCAATAAACAATTAAATGACCATAACAAGATAATTGAACAACTTAAGCATGCTTCAACACACACCAAACAATCATACTAAGAGTAACATATAAAATCCACCACATAGTCACTTTTTAGCGTGTCATTAGAGATTCATATACAAAATAAACATTTAATTCCATCAAATCCATCAATTAGACAAAACTCAAGCATGAACCAAAACCCTAGAGTTTGCATCATTCAATTAACACCAAATTGACATGCCAAAAGAGGGGGAAAACATCAAATTAACTACTAGATCCAAGGAAAATCGACAATTAGACAACTCTACCTCAAATTGATGTAGAAAACCCCAAAATTCCCAAATCCAAGCCCTAACTTGTGAAATTCCAAGGTGCACCAAACGAGGCTTGGCTCGGATCAAATTGTAGATCTACTTGAGCTCTTCAATTTGCCGCAAACGGCATAAAAAATCTCTCAACGGTTTGAGAGAAATCAAGGATTGAAGATTGAAAGAGAAAGAGAAAAAGAAATGAGAAGAGGGAGAGAGGGCCGTGCGATTAGAGAGAGAGAAAAGATGAGACCAACTAATGGTCTCATGACCATTTAAAAGAAAAAAAAAATAGTGGTGGGCCCCACCAAAATGAAATATCTTTTCTTTCTAAACTTTTACCACATATATATATATATATGCATACACTTAATAATTCACAACCACATCTAACACATTAAATAAAATAAATGTGATGCAATTGGACCCAACCATAATCCCCGTACACAACAATTCCGGTAACGAGTCCCACCCAGGACCGACCGGCCCGAAAAACTAAAAAAATGTTGAAATGGAAACCCTTGCATTTCAAAGAGTCCTGAACTCAATAAAATGCCCCAACCAACTCTTGGACACACTCGGCACACCCCACGGTGTCCGGCAAGCAAAACGAGAAAAGACGAAAATACCCTCGGAAAATTCAGAAATTGCAGAAAATGAAAAATGGTGAAAAACAGAAATATTACAAAAACATTACCATTTAAACATAGTTCTTCATCACATATCAACTTAGCATGTAAATACATCTCATATACAATATATAGCAAAGTTTGCATGAAATATACACAAATTAATCATGTAATAATACAAATTTTAAAGAATTGACTCACAAAAATACAAGAGATTATGGATTAGAAACCCCTACCTCAAAAGGAAGCAAAACCCCCAAAAATTGCCCGATCCAAACCCTAATTTCGAAATTCCAATGAGCACCAAAAGTGAAATTGCTCCAATCAATGCGAAGATCTCGACGAGTTCTCCGTTTTGCCGCAAACGGCACCATCAAACTCCTAATGGTTGAGGAGTAATCAAAGATTGAAGATGGTGAAAAAAAAAAAAAAAAGAAAAAGAGAAGAGAGGAAGAGAGAGCCGGGAGATAGAGAGAGAATTGGAGGCCTTGAAATGGCCTATTGGCCACAAAATAAACAATTAAGTGGTGGTGGGTCCCACCACTCAAATATCCACCTTTACATTAATATATATATATATATATATTTCATTTAATTTACAACCACACACAAACATTTAAATACATAATTATGCACAAAATAATTATACATGATGTGCAATGGATCCAAAATAAAATTCCCATACACAACAATTCCGGTTGGGGGTCCCACCCGGGACCGTCCGGCCTGAAAAACAGAAAAATGCAAAAATGACCACCATTGCATTTCTAGGGGTCCTGAACTTAAAGAAATGCCCTAATCAACTCTCGGGCACACCTGACACACTCCACGGTTTCTGGCACGCAAAACAAGGAAGGACGAAAATACCCTCGAAAAATTTAGGAAATTCCAGGAAATGGAAAATGGTGAAAAACAGAAATATTACAGTTTGTGTATACATGCAACAAAGGGTGCTTTTCAAAAATTTATGTTTTCTCATAGAACTGAAAAGTTTCTTCTAAATCACAATATTTAAATTAATGTAGTAAGCTTCAAATAACCATTTTAGACATAAAACTATTTGTTCCTGAGCTATTTAATTATTTGATTTGTTTGTTAATGAATCTGATGAAATAATGTTCAGTGCTACATTGTCTTTGTTCAAGAACATGGTGGTCGCGATCTTGAAAGCTTTGTGCTCTTGAACTTTAATGAAGCACGGAGTTTATTGGTTCAGGTGAGGTGACTTATTTTTCTACATTTTTCCGGCCAATTTTATCTGTTATATAATTTATTGTCCATTGTTATTGCAGGTTACAGTTGCCTTGGCTGTGGCAGAGGCTGCATTTGAATTTGAACACCGGGACCTGCACTGGTTTAGTTATCATTTACTCAATTTTTGTAATAATGCTTCCTTTTTCTTAATTTTCGATTTAAGGAAAAAAATTTGGTTACAGGGGGAACATCCTTTTAAGCCGGAAAGATTCTGCATCCATGCAGTTCACTCTCGAGGGAAGGCAAATATATGTCAAGACATTCGGGTTGTGGATATCAATCATCGATTTCACTCTTTCGAGGATCAATACTGGTTAAAAAATACTCACATTTTACCGTATATTGCCACATTGGAGATCTAATTTTTTGCTGATTCAACGTAGTAAACTATCATTCTTTGCAACAGGGGAAGATATTCTCTTTCTGGATCTATCTTTAGACCCAGAAATCTTTGAGGGGCCAAAAGGAGATAAACAAGTAAGAGAAGTTGGGATGTCTTATTGTGGTTTTGTGTGTCAGAATTTTCATTTAATTGTCCTTTAAAATCTTATATGCAGTCAGAAACATATCGGAAAATGAAAGAGGTAACTGAAGAATGCTGGGAAGGAAGGTATGGCTGTCGATGTTTCCATTACTTAATCATCAAATGATGTAGGAAACCATTGGTGGCATAATTGCCTTTGAAAGTTGATTATGGAACTAATCAAGCTGCTATGTTATTATGTTATGACATCTCTTTAACACTAAAGAGGAAAAAGAGAGAAACTATTTCCCTGAGATTTGGTTTATGAAAAGGCGAGAGTCCTAGTTTCTCTTTTAAAGTAAGAAACATAGCAGTGGAGTATTCCTCGCCTTATGATATCATCCTTTTCTTCGTCAAGTTATTCTTTTAGCTACCTTACCATGAGAAGGATAAAGGAATTGGGATATTTGTCACAAGAGTGTTGGATGGGCTGAAAAAGTTTTTCTTCAACTAAGAAAAAGTGTAATGGTTACTTCAGTAATTTAATTGGTATGCACACAACTTCAACAGGGTTCCCCTTACATAGCAGTATAGAGTTTACTACTGGGGTATCTTTCTTTGGTGTAGTAAAGACGGGGAACTTGGGTTCACGTTTGAGTCACTTTGTGTAAATAATGCCAAGTTTTAGGTCTCTACTCATTTTGTCATCCCAACACCTTCAATTGATGGAAACCAACATGGGGTAATGGCCTCAAAGTTCAATAAAAAGTGGCATAATGTTGAACTGAAAAATCAGATCCCATTAGGTGAGAAAATTTTGGTGTTTATGTGGAGTGGCTGTAGCTTTATAACAAAACTTCCACTCTTTTCTTTAATTTACTATTCACTAATCTTTAAATTTACAAATACAGGGATCAAATCACAAACATGGTAATGAAGTATATGGTTTTCAAAACAATGAGAGTTTTAGAATCTGCAAAAAACAATTTGGGTTGATCGTGCGAATCTTCTTTTCGCCAATTTCATGTGCTATTTTACAAGTGCCTCATGGTTATCTTCACTAACCTGAACCTAGTTCTCTTTGGGCTTCACCGTTCTCCCTTTAGGTCTTCCTCTGGTTTCTTCCTGGGTAGAATAAGAATTATGTGTACTTTAAGAATATAAATATTCTGCGAGGATGAGTTATGTGATGTGGTTTTCTCTTCATTTTTTTTAGGTAAGATATACTCGTACAACAAACACACTTTGTTCAAATTGGGACTTGAACTCTCAACCTTCTTGTTGGAAGGAGTGGGAGGTCCCTTCAAGCTAATGCTTGGTGGTTCATTTTTTATTTCTTCTCACTTTTTTGGACAACACTTGGTTATGTCTTAGAGTCTGTTCTTGTGAATACTGATGGCTGCCTCTGCACTAGTGACTCCATGCCACAAATAACCCATTCTGGAAAAGACCACATATGAAGGCATTTTCTAAATTTGAGTTTTTTAAAATATTTATTAGCTGCTTAGTTTTCATGGATTTGGAAATATGTTGATATGTCAAAGGAACACAAAGTCAATCCTCTCTTACTATTTATTCTCGACATCTCATTTTCTTTTATGGTTGCTTGCATTTTTCTGGATGCTGAATCCCCGTCATTTTTCATGACCATACAGTTTCCCCAAGACGAACGTGTTGTGGTTGCAGTATTTGGTTGATATTTTGCTCTTGAAGAAATCATATGTAAGTCCTTTGTCCTGCAAAAATCAACAAGCTGATTACAACATAACTCGATTTAATAGAGACAGTCCTAGTGGAGTGAACTTTTTAGAACTGTTAAATAACTGTTCTTTGTTACTGCTAGTGCTAGTATATTATTTACATTAACGAGTAGGAAAAAGACAACATAGATCATCACTTGGAATATTGTGGCAGGATCGAACTTCAAAAGATGATAGAGAGATGCGCTCACTGAAGAAGCGCCTAAACAATTATGGTTCAGCAAGAGAAGCAACTTCTGATCCTTTTTTCAGGGACTTGTTCGTTAATGAAGCAAAGGAAGGTGAACTTGATAAATGAACTACAGATATTTCACAAAGCGACCATTCTGAGGCTCGAACTACACCAGTATTTTACTGCTGAACTAGTCAACAACCTTCTATGACTTGCTAAGGTGTGGCTCCTCTATTTTGAAGGCTTCCTTTTTCCATTTTGTGTTGACTTGGCTGATGAAGCTAATATTATTACAATGTTTTCTTCATATCTGATGAGAAACGGATATTTATTGCGATTGGAAGTGAGTATAGCAGAAGGTTTTTGTGAGAAGTTATCGTCTTTCTATATCATATATGTAACATGTTCATGACGAAACAATGCTTGATTATTGTCAGTGTCGAGATCTCTCTATACTCTATAGGTATGTATATCTAAAAAGTAGCAATTAAGACCCATTTTCTTGCAAGAACTACATTTGTTCATCCTTTTTTGCACTTTATATATGATTATGTCTTGTGATAAAGTTCAGTTTTATTTCATTTCAAATATTCTGTGAATCAAATACATGTTGGGGAAAGCAACTTTTAGAATTTTCTTTCTTCGTTGCCATAGAGTGCAGTGTAAACTTAAGGTCTAAATTTTTTTTTTTTTCCTAGTTGGGAGTCACTACCTCCACTGAGGTTCGAACCCATGACCTCTCTTTGAAAAGTAGGAATTTTATACCGCTAGGTCATAGGCTTATAACATCAGTCGAGATTCGTCCCAGTGTGTAACTATTGTCTGCTTTGTACCCTCTTTGTACTCACAGCTTTTAAAATGAAACATTAGAGTTCCCGATTACTCCTCGTAAATTGGATTCGTCAAGATGATGGAATTCACATATCCGATCGGGACTAGGTTGGCCTGGATTCTTGTACAGACATTTGCTATAGCTCTCGCCAGATCGCCTGATGATTAACACGTTTTGAAAACTGTGAGCACAAAGAGGATATAAAGCAAACAATAATTACACATTGGGACGAATCTGGACTGATGTTGTAGATCCACTATTTGGATGATGCAGGCATGCACTATGCATTTTGGATAAAAGAGGATCACCACAACTACTTTCTATCCTATGTCCAGAAAGTTGCATGATGTGTTCCCCTAACTGTAGACACATACACCTCATCCATGCCGATAATTTGTGAGTACCTTATTTGATCTAATTCCAACTTTAAATTTACAGAGCAGCAATTAAATCATAAAGCAAAAATAGGAGTTGAATGTGCCCAATTTTCACTGCTTTTTTTTGTCATTCTTTTGAAGGATCAGACATACTCCTTTTTCTGTTATTATATTGAATTTGATCACATTGTTATCATTTTGCTTTCGACTGTGGCTTAGTCAGATGAGTTTGCTTTTATGTTCCCTTGAAAAGAAAAAAAAAAAAAAAAAAAAAAAATAGTAGTCCACATGGGTTGGTCCCATTTCTTTCCCATATTTAACCATATAAAAACAAATAGTGTTCACAATATCTATAAAAAGTCCATTTTTTTTCATAAAGTCGCCGAAACGGCCTTTGTCCCATTGGGAATTTGATGGCATTTGCTTTCTTGTCGTCATTCTTCTTCTACAAATTTATCTTTCTTCTTCTACAAGAGAGTACATGACATTAACGTTTCATATTAGTACGTTCTTTGTCACTATTTTTTGGCGTGCCGCTCGAGGGAACTTCCAACTAGAGTTTAACGTAGGGGTCCCCATTCATGTTTGTGGGTTAGAAACACTGTAGGAATCATATTAAACAGGTCAATTCAAATACGACTTGTTTAATATATTAAAGATCTTCAATATTAACACGACCTATTTGTTAAACGAATTATATGCGTTAACTTGTTTAATAACTTATTTATCAAAACCAGAGATTAATTACTACTGAACCCAAATATTCAAAACAAGAAGAAAAACATCCAACACCCTCGTAACCAAGTAAGCAAAATACAAATGTTATTTACTTGAAAATCATAAAGTGTAGTTACTGTAGTATGAATCAGACTCAACAGAAATGAGAGCTAAGGAGCTCATGTAGATTTTTGTTAAAATTTATGTTAAAATGACCTAATTGTTCATAATTAAACAGGTTGAACTCTTCAATCCTAACACGACACGATTAATTAATCGAATTAACCGTGTCGACTTGTTTACGGTCCAAACTAATTTAAAGTCAACCCAAATCTACTTATCTTATGTCGTGTTCGAATCGTGTCAAACTTTGCCACCCCTAATCTAACTTTATTTTTTGTGCGCTTTAGCAATCATTTTTACATTTAGAATTGGACGTTCATTGATAATCTCAGTCTGAATTTAATTACAATCGAGTTTGTGTTGAGTGTTGAGCAACGCCAGCCCTACCTAAACTGAACCTGAATTTTAATTTTAAATTTTAAATATAATATGCATGTTTAAATTTGATCAGCCTGTTCTTTACAGTTTCATTTTGTGAAAATCTTAATTTATTGTAAATTAATATTTTGGATAGGATATGCTAGTTTCAGTTGTAGCTTCAATGTATTTTCTGAACGAAATCATCCTCCACTGATTCTAATTTTGTTGGTGAAAAAAAAAAATAATAATAAATAAATTCTAATTTTGTCTACCACTTTTCATGAAGGTCCTGCTTGCCAATCAATAAAGAAAAAAAAATCAACAGGACAGTGGCCTAACGATATTAAACTTCTATTTTTTAAAGAGAAGTTAGGAGTTCGAATCTGATCGAAACGTTTGTTTGCGAGTAAAAAAAAAAAGATCTGGATTGGTAGGTATCTCTATCACTATGTTAAATTACTCTCCAGTCTCAACGTAATCACTACATAATGTCCAATGAAATGCAGCCAACATTCCTTGTATTTATTACGTTTTGCATGATTTTATGCGAGTTTATAAGGTTATACTAATAGAGTCAACAGAAGAAGTAGGTATCAATCCTTCAATGGCAAGGGTTGGCAAGGGTGACAAAGTAAATTTGAATCTCACATTGTGCAAAATTATATCAAACAATTTCAATAATCATAGAGAAAAGAACTTTAACATTAATTAATGTTTTTAAAAGTTACATATGTTATTTTTTTTAAGACAAGAATGTTAGTGTTCAATTAGAGAAATGGAAAAATGCAAGACTCAAACACCAGAAGCAATTCAATCAATTGGGGGCAACACGGATAATTGCTTAAAAAAGTTACATAATAGTTGAAAAACAATAAACAAAATAATTGCGATCTTAAAAAATGTGTGTCGAAAATAGAGAGTTGAGGGCCGTGAGACAAGAAATTTAAAGATATACATACAGGCACGGATCCACAATAGGACCACTGGATTTTTTTTTCATTTTATATTTCAAGTTTTTTAGAATTTATGAATATATTCTCACTAAAATTACAATTCACCCCACTAGAATTCTTTTTTTGCATTTTATACTTTAAATTTTTGAAAATTTATGACGATGCCCCCACTAAAATTACATTTCGCTCCACTGGAATTCTTTTTTTTTTTTTTTTTTTTTTTTTTTTTTTTTTTTTGCATTTTATACTTTAATTTTTTTGAGAATTTATGAAGATGACCTAATGATATTGCAAAAATGAACCCACTATATAAAAAGTACATAAAAATAATAATAAAATAACTCAGTAGAGACAGAGCCTCACTCGGCACAAGCCGGCTCCATCTTGTGTGAAAGAAAACAGCCAAGCCTAATGGTGCAAGAAGAATTATTCTTCTAGTTAAAATGTCATTATTCATATCCTTCCAATAATATTTATTATACACACAATAAATAATTATATTCACCAATTTTGCTCAAACATGGCTTCAGTCTTTCAATAATCACCAGTGGCCTTTTTGCTGCACTAGTGAAATCCACTAGCATTTGCCATGTCATCACTCATGCTTTATGTGTTTGTGTACATGCATATGCATGTGCCTCACCACTTGCCAAACTCTGCTTTATATCTTCATCTCATTTCTTTGGAAAAGTTAAAGGAATTCCAAAAAAGAGTAAAATATTCTTTCCACCGTTCACAGCCAGAACATTTTTTCAAACTCCATATCCTTCATTACAAAGTAACCGTTTTTTTCTAGATCATTGCAACATGTTCATCTTTGTTTCACTTTTTCTTCTTCTCTTTCCTCCACCTTTATCATCAACACTTTTCTCTCTCTCTCTCTAAATGTCTTTTAAACACCTCCATTGTATAATTCACATTAAAAATCAACTTGGGTCTCTTCCAAAACCCCCCAAACACCTCTCATTACAATGGCTAAAGGAATTTCCAAGTACCTCTTCTTGTCATGCCTCTTTTCCATTCTCACTGTCTACTCTGCAGGTCAGTACTTACTTCAACATTCTTTATCATAAGGATTTGATGTGAAAACCCTAGAAGTTCATAGTTAATTTGTTCTTTATACTACATTTGTGTTTCTTTTTGCTATATAGAATTTTTTTTTTTTTTTTTTGAGAATTTTGAAGTTCTAATTTGTGTTTTTCAATTATATGATTCTTCATTGCAGGAACTTTGGTGGGTTTTTCCTATGATGCAAGGAAAAGCAACACAATTTCGTCGTCAATCGAAACAATATCATTCCTGAAACTCAACAAGGTCTCACCATCTCAGATAAGGGTTTTTGTTGCAGATCACAGTGCTTTAGATAGTCTATCCAACACTAGTGTATCTGTTGATCTTTACTTGAGTGAAACCCATATCGAGAATTTGAAAATTCACAATCCTTCAACAATTTCGTGGCTCAAAACCCATCTAATTACCTTCCTCCCAAAAGTGAAAATCAAGAGCATCATAATAAGTGGCAACAGAAATGACCTACCAGGACAAAAGCTTCTATCCACCTTGAAATCAATCCATTCAATCATCACTAGGATTTGCCCGAAAAGCCAAGTAACTGTATCAGTCTCATTCTCCTTGTCATTCTTAGAGAACTTGAACAGAAAACAAGAGAAAGACCTGCATGAAATTTTGAATTTCATCAAAAAAGCATGTTCTTTCGTTGTTGTAGAAGCCAGAATTGATGATGCATTGTCCATGGGAGACCGGTTTGTTGAATCCGCGATCAAAAGGGCTAACTCAGTAGCTTCTGTCATTCCTTTTGGTGCTAATGTTCCTATAGTTTTGACAATCAAGAGCCCTGCTGTTCCTAGTGGTACAGAAGTAGCCGAATTCTCTGATAAAATTTCGAGGTCTTTGGAGATTAGTACTCAAACTCTAGGAAATTTAATTGGGTTGTTTGCAGAAATGTCTCCTGTCAATGAATTTGAGCAGAAAGAGCTTGAAAGGGAAGAAGAACAGATGTTCCATTCTTCCCATAGAGAGCTCCTCCTCAAAACAACTCTACATGACATTGTCGAACCACCAACCACCAGCTTCCCCCCAACTCCCATTACTAATCCTACAACACCACCAGTTACCATTCCCCCGGAAAACAACCCCACGCCAACCATTGTCACTGTTCCCTCCACCAATCCTGCTGTGCCATTTCCTTACACTACTCCAACTCCCACGCCCTATAATGATCCGGTCAATTCACCAGTGCCCCTCACCAATCCAGTCACAACACCAATCACGGTTCCAGGAGGGGCACAACCAATAACTAACCCTGTCACAACCTATCCGGCCCCAACAGGAGGCGTTCCTGTCACAACACCAGTCACAACCCCGGTGGCTCCTCCTGCCACGACAAATGCCCCTGCAGTCCCGGGGCAGAGCTGGTGTGTGGCGAAAGCTGGAGCGTTGGAGAGTGCACTGCAATCAGCACTTGATTATGCTTGTGGGATGGGAGGCGCGGATTGTTCAATGATCCAGCAGGGTGCAAGCTGTTACAATCCAGATAGTCTTCAAAGCCACGCCTCGTATGCGTTTAACAGCTACTATCAGAAGAATCCAACACAAACCAGCTGTGATTTTGGAGGGACTGGCATGATAACAAATATCAATCCAAGTAAGTACAGATATCTTATTGATCAATTCATCTTAGTTTCTTGTGTACAAAGATTGTATATCTGTTAATGCTTTAAAAACTAAACCAGTTCTCATAATTTATTGAATTATATACTATATACAGGCTCTGGTTCTTGCATTTACCCAACATCATCATCATCTTCAACACCAACCACCTTTCCGACGCCAACACCAACACCAACAACCTTTCCAACACCAACACCAACAACAACAACAGCATCATCAGGGGCACCAGTACCAGGGTAAAGTGTTATACTTTCATGGTCATATCAGAACTTTGTAATACTACTGGTCGATTTGGTTTAGTTTTCTGAGAACTGTAAAATTAGAAAGCTGTAAAAAAATCTGTTTGGTTGACATTTCTGAAAACTGTTCCTTTTTTACAACTCTGTTAAAAAAGAATCGGCAACCGTACTCTCTAAAAACAGTTTTTTGTTTTTTGAGTTCTTCGGAACCTTCTTTTTGGAAAATTGAACCAAACAGGCCCTATTTCTTCATCGGTGTGTTCAAATAACACCTTCCTTTACATTTTCCATCTTAATTTGCAGCTATGGTTCTCCTCCTACAGTGGTCAATACAAGCAACCCTGCTTTAGGCACAACTATTACCAACCCTGCTTCAGGTACCACAACAGTTTTCGAAAGCCCTCCGGGTGCTACCAACTCGACATCCATCTCAGCCAACTTACAACCATCCATTGGTGTCATACTGATAACATCCATCATCACGGGAATCTTTGTTCTGGACATGTAGAGATGTAACTTCTCCATGCACATCAACGAACGCAGAGCTCATTGCTTCAGCAACAGCTCAGAGTTTTGGCTGTTCAAGCCATGTACAGATCTATCTTCACAGGAAAAAGACAACAGCAATGAGTTTTTCAAAGGCCCAATTCTGCTTTCAATGCTCACTGCTCAGCATGTGACTTCATGAGATGTAAAGATGCTAATAGCTGAAGCTACCTGTAATGTATTTTATTTTGATCCACACTATGTATATCTAGAGTAAGGCAGTTTAGGTTGACTGCTAAAAGAGGGGTTCAATCTTGTAGTTGTATGAATTATATAGTTTGTGTAGGTTCAAAGAAAAAAAGGAAAATTAAAAAAATATTCTCCGGAAAATAACGTGCCATAAATTCTCTCATATCATCAAACAGACCAAATTTCCTATTATTGCATCCACTTAATTGTGTTATTGATTTTGGCATTAAAACATTGTACTGAATATCATGAAGCAATTCAGCATCAATGAATGATCAGACGGCAAACCATGTGTGACCGAATTAAAGAGGCCATGTTTAAATGGGAGATTAAGCAAAAAGGAAGCAGGAAACAGTAGATCATTTTTTAAAATTGCAGTTAAAATGAATGAAATTTTGTTCATCGTCACATTTAAGAAAAAAATTACACATTCAGGTCTCTGGTGATTCAATGAGTGCTGAGCAGCCACCGACATCGTGAATAGCTTCATTTAAGCAAAATACAAGTAGTTTGAACTATATTTACACCAATTTCAATTCCAAGGTTTCTATTTGATACTCCCAAACATAACTTTTATGTATATCAGACAACATGACCGGTAAAAGAAAGTAAATTCACAAGGTGAATTCTAAACAGTTTCCCAGTAAGAACATCCTCCAAACATTGCACAGTTGTGCATTGGATGCCAATTACATCTTGACAGTTCATAAATTAAAAGTTGATCCGATTGTACCAAACACTTTGAATTTCAAAATCACATGGGATCTGCAAATTTATGATCCATACAGACAAGAGATTCCTTTAACCCTAATTGTTCAGTCGTATAAATGTCATAAAGAGTATGCTGGGACCAGGCCCACCACATGTAAGAAAAAAAAGGAACCTCTTGATTAAGACTTGCCTTAAGAAAATAAGTGCATATTAGTAACGAAAAAAGTCAAAAGGGGCATGTCAAGATCATGTTTTGCAGCTCAAGAATCATCAACAACAGCATGACTAAAAATTAGAGAACCAAAAGTATGTGAAACAAGTGTGTGTGTGTGTGTGAGAGAGAGAGAGAGAGAGAGAACCTCTAGAATGAACATTTCTACAGATAAACAGCATCTACATCAGTCTCCTTTTGGCTAAGATTCCCAGTGCTCTCTTTATACAATAATTACTTAAAGAACACAATTATTCTACCGCTTTGAAAACAATACCAAGATCAACATGGACATGGAAACCACCATCTTGAAACCAGAGCTTTCCCAGAAATTTTGTTTTTCATTACCCACATCTCCACTCAGTTGCTTTGTTGTTAACTGATCTCTGAGTTCTTTCAAAGCTTTGTCCCGCCGCTCTCCCATCTGGCATAATGAATAAAGAAACATTTTGTAAGCCATACCGGTGGGGAATGGATATGATATTCATCAATTACTGGTATTATAAAAGATAAAATGAAGAAAAAACGGAGGATCTGCTTTTCTTTCTTAGGGAAGGGATAAAAGGAAGGAAAATGATTTGGAGCCCGAAAGTCGGACAACTCCGACTGATTTATGTGAGTAAGGCTGACATCATCGTTTTTAATAATCCTGACGTAATGATGACATCAACCCCCACTCACATAAAATTAGTCAGATTTGTCCGACTGTTGGACTCTCTATCATTACTCTAAAAAGAATTGTACTCTCAACCTTGGCAGTTGGCACATTAATTGATCGTTTGAACACCACAAGGTTGTGGACCATGTACCTGACGAGGACCAAATTTTCAGCATATATAGGTTTTCACTTTTGGCATGGCAGAAGAACGTTATGAAGCCACTTGCACACCATAATGGTCTGGACCATCCAGTTGATAAGAACCTAAATTTTACTCACTATATCCGATTCCCCATCCAACCAAGGTGCACACTTAAGGTTTACTACTAGGAGCAAATTGTGGACATTTGACCAACAGCAAGAAAATAAACATGACATATGCTTCAAATAACAACATGAATTCCATTCTAACCATAAGAGTAAATGTATACAATATTACCCTTTGCAGCTTTCGTGTTTGAGAACGTGACTCCTGAAGACAGAATTCCAATTTTAGAACCCTCTTTTTTAAATCCTGATCAGCTCTCCGATGTTTCTCTAACTATTCAAGGAACATGACAAAAGCTCATTAATGAAATCGAACCACTTATATTATAGAAGAAATAGATTAAATTGTAGGGGGGAAAGGAAGAACTAAGAATAAATTAAATAAGAAAATGAAGATCAACATACTTGCGACTCCAATTCCTTAGTTTTGAACTTCCAGTGAGCAGACATTATCCTGATTTCATCTCTCAATTTGCCTATTTCTTCATCCTTAACAATCAAAAGCTTGTTTATCTTCTCAAAATTCTTTGGTGAAACCTCATCTAATATTTTCCTCAGCTCACAATCTTTGCTTCCCCCAGCTTTGACCAGAGCTTGCATAATATCATGCTCAATTCTTAAAACTTCCTCTTTTTGTTTCTTCTGGGAAGATTCCCTCGCTTGGAGATCCTTCTGCAGAAGATCTAATTGCTCTCCCATCCTAGTTACGCGAAGCTCATGCTCTTTTAATGAACTATTTTTTTCATCCATCTGCTTCATAAGTTCCAAACATTGAAGTTCAGCAAATTGAGCTGATGCAGAACTTGCATCTGCAGTTGCTTTGGTTACTGAAAGTTGTGATTTAAGACCATCTAACTCCATCAGATACTGTATTGCATGAAAAAGAACATCAGAATTAAAAAATTAGACATATATTGATGGAAGAAACAATTTTGTAACAAATAAGACAAAATGAAGAGCAGTTATAATTTACAGTTTCAATACAATATAGAAAAGGTACAAAGAACCTATAGTTTATTCCCAAGTAATAGTTCGTGAGCTCATCAATCCAACTATTTTACTCAGCATGAATCCTTATTCCTTGCCATGATGTTCATGTTCTGAAAGGTAATACTTTGATAACAGTCATTACCATGAAACCAAAATACATATATAGAAAATATTTCTGGTAATTTTGAACTCTTCACTGTTCAAAAGCTTCGCATTTGATTTTACTCCTTTCCTTATTTTATTTTATTTTTTATTTTTTATTTTTTGTCTTTTCATCTTTTACCTAGGCAATTTGTGTCAGTTTTGATGCGTATGGATGCCAGAAAAATAAAAAATAAATATTCTAGACTACATTTAGGGTGCTTCCTAGTACGTACATAGAGCATGCACAAAGAGAGAAAATAAATAAAGGTGTGATGACCCAATCATCATTGCTCAATGAAGCAAGTGTACTTCCATTAATGACGCAGTCTAGAAAACTAAGTTCCCATACTAATAATTCAACATGCAAGGAAGATTTGCAAAGATTAACTGAATATTTAATTTCAAATAAGAGTTCATTCAATAATAAAGACAGCAACCAAAACTTGTAAAGGTTGATCAAATTTCAATTTTCAAGTCACCATAATACTTAAGCCTAGAAAGTAGTGGGAAAGAAACATAGGTTGGTGATTACTGAATTCCAGAAAAATCCTACGTGTTGTTAGATCATTTTCAAGATAGCAAAGATCAACTTCTAATTAGATTGGCAATAAACTTGCTTCCTCTGAAATAATCACCAAGCCACAACCTTTTCCCCATAACAGTTGTTGTAAACTTCCTAGAGAAAAGGAGGATGAAAGCTATTACTACCATCATTAATGGGCTAACAAGCAGAGCCTAAGAAAAAGAAAATGACCCCAAAAACTAAGAATGAAAAATTAGAGCAGCAAATGTTTTGACTATCCCATTCAGAAAAATGCAACCATACAGCTAAATATAGTTTGATTTGTCCTGTCGACCATACATAGAAACAAAAAGTTCCTGAACCACCACCATCATCATCATCATCCTTGCCTTAATCCCACATGAACGGGGTCGGCTACATGAATTTTGTCTCTCCAAGCTTTTCTATATTTAAATTTTTAAATCATTTTTAATAACCTCGTCTCATTTGACTGGCACGTCTTTAGGTCTCCGATGTACATGTCCAAACCATCTAAGTCTACTCTCTTGGATTTTCTCACCAAATGGGTGCTATACCTAATTTTTCTGTCACACTTTCATTAGTGACCTTATCTCTTCTAGTCACTCTGCTCATTCACAGAAAGGATAAACTGAAAGTATGAAACAAAATTATTACATCAAAACACTTGGATACTTTCCCCAATCACTCTACCAAGAAACAAGAGAAAAGGCCAAAAAATACCAAAAAATATGATGACCAGAACATGGAATCAGTGAATGGTGGGTTACACAAATATAATAAACTCAAATAAAGATGGTCAAAGTACCTAATAATCCCAATTAGTGATTGAGTTCTAACTAACTTTCATTCTATCAGAAAGCTATACACAAACATATATGGAGAAGCCAAGCACCTTTTCAGCACTAGATGCAGATACTTTAAGCTGATCATTACTCTCCTCTAAGCTCTTCTGCAGTCTACTCATCTCCTCTTCCATGCTCTTTGCCTTCGTCTCCGCCTCCTGTCAAAACCCCCAAAATTCACAAAACTTTTAACAAACTAATTACAAAATTAGATGACCCCACCAACAACAAACCCTTCATAGATGAGAACAAAAAGTTGAAATCTTTTCATTTCTCAAGGACAAATATATAAACAAATATATAGATACACATACCTGTCTTGTTAGGGTTTCAAGAGCAAATGACTGTTCCTTTGAAGTGAGGCGGCTCCGAACCTCCTTGAGCTCCTCCGCCAGCGACACAACGTTCCGGCGAAAGCTCTGCTTCTTCTCACTCAGATCCTTCAACAGTGGATCAAACTCTCTCGCCAACGACGACATCACCGTCAGATTTCAATGCAATCAAAATCAACAGCTCAGGTCCAAAGATCCAATGCTGTGCAAATTCAAATTCATGTGTTAAACCCTAAAATCAGCCGACTCTATCCTTGAAGCGAAAGTTACATATCTGCATGGGCAAACAATTATTACGCATTTGATTTGGAGTCTAAGAAAGCAAGCGGTTACTTTCAAAGATGGTTTGAAAATTTCGTAGCTAAATTCAAACTCATAGAAGCCGATTCAAATTAAAGTCAAAAACTTTTCTCTTAAATAAAACTCTATCTTTTTTTCTGGTGTATGATGCACCATATTTCAATTCTCAAACTTAATATAGAGAGAGAAAGTGTTTTAGAGAGAGAAACAAGAATTCACATACTTTTCTCTCTCTGAAATAAAAGCTCTGTAATTTTTTTTATATATCAATTCTCAACCTTAAATTAGAGAGAGAGAGAACACGAATTCAGATAGGGAATGTCTAAGAAGTCCCAAAAACGATCTGAGCCACACATTCGTCACATCAACGGCACCAAGAAAATAAAAAATACATGTTTCTTAACAAGCAAACACATTTCAAATGAGCAAATAGATAGGAGTAGTATATATGCCTAATTGCATTTGTGTGTGTGTGTGTGTGTGAGAGAGAAATACGGAGTAAAAACTTACTGTGTAAATCTTTGAAGCTAAAAGATTGAATTCACCTCTCTAACCATGCCTCGCAAATCAAAATCGAAGCTTCATTCGATTCAACGACCATTATGCCAGTAGTTTATAACCATTTGCTTTTATATTGGCGTTTATCTATCTTTCTCAGACGGCTGGAAATGGGAAGAGATCGAAGAAGGTGGGCTTGATAGGATGGGTTTTTGGTTTTTTTTTTTTGTGTTTGTTTCTCGGGAAAATTTGTTATTTTCCCTCAGAAATACACATATGTGTGTATATATGACTGTAAATGCTGCTAAAAGAACTGGAAGAATCTAAGTAGAGACTGACGGACATCTGTAGTTTGAATTTGAGGGTTAGGTAGTTGGTTCGGACGAGCCTTATGCTATAATGTGACAGATTCCGAACCTAGCGGTAGGTTTGACCCGAGCGCGGCAAATCCAAATTTTGGTTTGGGTTGCTAAGCCTATCCACGTGGGTTATATGGACAGTCGAGGTGGATTAATCGGCCGACATGAGTGTGGAGTGCTGGCTCCACTAGCGTAGGTCTGAGTTGGGGTGGTAAAATAGGTCATGACTTACCACCAATTCGTCCATATCCATTCATTTTAAAATAGATATGGGTGAATTATTTTAAAATATGAGTCTAAAATAATTCATATTCAACTTATTTTTATAGAGGGTTAAATATGGGTCACCCATTTTGACTAATATTTCACCAATTATACAAGAGACCCAGTTTCACAACCTTTATTTGACTCAAATTCACCTCTTCCTTTCTAAAATTCTCTCACACGATTCCAAATTTTCTCTCTCTCTCTCTCCTACTATCTCTTTCTAAAATTCTCTCTCTAATTCTCTCACGTGGGTTATATGTAATACTATGTAATAGGGAAAAATAAACCTAACCTATCTTGACCTAATGATAGAGGCAACTAAGTGTTGACCAGTCGTCAAATCTCTTCTACTTTAGAAAGATAATATTTCGTTATCCTTGATAACGATTTCCATTGGATAAATTCCATGGGATAATGACAAATCTTATCAAGGATAAGATTTCCATGGGATAAGGATTATGATTTTCCCTTATCAAGAATAAATGAAGTGACGATAAATAGGAAGACGACTCGGGAATAAGGTACGACGAAAAAACTATTATTAAATCCCTCCCTTCCTTTTAGACCTCTGGGGGACTAACTTGATCGTTGGAGAGCTCTTGGCAGGCACCACACCAGTGTCGTCAAGGTTCATCGATCTTATCCTCTCTTTCTTGTAGGAAAACGGTGTCGTATCAGATCGCATGGATTTCACCCTCAACAGTTGGCGCCATCTGTGAGAAACTACGATTTCTTTATATATTGTTCAGTTGGGTATATGCGTTTGCGGTCCGGTATGGTTACCAAAGGAATACCGTTGCAGGGATCTGGTCAAGGGGAAGAGTCGGGTGAGAACCTAAACGTCCCAAACGACCAGGAATGGCTTGCAGCGTTGGAACTACAGGTTCAAACTCTGATTCAGGGTATGGACCAGTTGATCCAGCAAAATGCAACGCTCCTGCAACATCTTGTTCCACCAGTTCAACAAAGCTTGCCACGACAAGATCTCTCAAATCTAAATGGAGGTAATGGGAATCTTAAAGAGCAGGATAATCATCATCCCCAAAATGAAACTGAAGTGGAACAAAGCCAGGTGGGAAACTGACATAGAGAGGTGGTCCACCCATCTCTCCCACAGAGTTCCCGACCTCATGAAGGCACAGCTTTCTGTCTTAAGGAAAAGATAAAGAAAGCTACCTATTTCGACCTGCAGATCGAGGATCTCAAGGGGAAAATGGAAGATGTAATACAGGCTATGAAAGGGAAAGATCCTGCAGCCATAGATGACCTGGTACAAAAGACCAACTTGCCATTCAGCCCTGCCGTTATGAAATGCCCACTGCCTAACAAATTAGGATGCCCTCGTTCGAAAGCTTCGATAGGACCAAAGATCCCCTTGATCACCTAGAAACCTTTCAAGTTCTTATGCATTTACACGCTGTGCCAAATGAAATCATGTGCCGAGCTTTTCCCACTACACTTAAGGGATCAACAAGAGTTTGGTTCAACAAGCTGAAGTTAGGAACCATTAACACCTTCGAAGAACTAAGTAAGTAGTTTGTGAGCCAACTTCATTGCAGATCAGAGGCATAGGAGGCCGGCTACCTACCCGTTTACTGTGGAGCAACAAAAGGAAGAGTCAATCCGGGAATACATCACCCGATTCAATGCAGAGATGTTGCAGGTAAAAGAGGTGGACGACAAAATAGCTTTGACCGCATTCATAGGAGGACTTCAAACCTCCAGATTCTTATTCTCCTTATCAAAAGAGCCTCCCACCAGCATGGTAGACGTGTTGATCAGAGCGTAAAAACACATTAACGCTGAAGACACCATGAGTGCACGGAAGGAAGGAGAGGACAAGAAGAGGCCAGCCCCTCTCGCCAGGGATAAAAATGATACCAAATATAAGAGATTGTTCTTCAGCCAGAGCGATAGCACATATCATGAGAAGGACTCAGATGAGTATACCGACTAAAAATTGTCTCACAGCTGGAATTAGCCTTATCAAGTCATTCACAATAAAGACTGGGGACATCTCAGTTAATCATTTTAAATGGAGAGTAACTCCCTCACATGTTATCTTGTTTTCAATAAGCCTTGAGGCAATGATGGTCTTTAATGAAATTCATTTCAGTTGCCTTGACTCTTGGTCAATTATCTTTATACGTGAAGTATCCCCGTATTACAGGAGATAGTAAATGAGTGTCCTGTATCATAAGGACCCGGGCTGAGTGAATCCCGTAATTCATATCCCTGTACTATAAGGGATAGTAAATGAGTGTCATGTATTATAAGGATCCGAGCTGAATGAATCCCATAATCCATATCCCCGTACTATAAGGGATAGTAAATGAGTGTCCTGTATTACAAGGACCCGAGCTGAATGAATCCCGTAAATCATATCCCCATACTATAAGGGATAATAAATTAGTGTCCTGTATTACAAGGACCCGGATTGAGTGAATCCCGTAAACCATATCCTCGTACTATAAGGGATAATAAATAAGTGTTCTGTATTACAAAGACCCGAACTGAATGAATCCTGTAATCCAGATCCCCGTACTATAAGGGATAGTAAATAAGTGTCATGTATTACAAGGACTTGGGCTGAATGAATCTCGTAATCACTATCCCCTTATTATAAAGGATAGTAAATAAAAATCCCTTACTAAAGGGACGAGCTGAGTAAAACTCGTAAAATTTAATTCCCTTATTAAATGAGTGACGACCTGAGTGAAGCTCGTACAATTTATTCCCTTATCAAGGGAAGATTACCCAAGGGTACCAAAAATAGTACTCAAGGGAAGAGTATCCAAGGGTACTAAACATAGTATCCAAGGGAAGAGTACCCAATGATACTAAAAATAGTACCCAAGGGTACCAAAAATAGTACCCAAGGGAAGATTACCTAAGGGTAGAGAAAAAAAATAAAATAAAATAAAAAATCTACTGTTCAATTAACAGTACCCGCGGGCACTGAACAGTGCTGGGGGCAAAAAAATAAAAAAATATTACTATTCAAGGAACTGTACCCGCGGACACTGTTCCCGAGGGCAAAAAAAAAAAAATTACATTCCCAAAGCTAGACGAGCAAGCTTGGGAATGGGGGGCAACTGATAAGGAAAAATAAACCTAACCTATCTTGACCTAACGATAGAGGCAACTAAGTGTTGACCAGCCGCCAAATCTCTTCTACTTTCAAAAGATAATATTTCGTTATTAAGGATAACGATTTCCATTGGATAAATTCCATGGGATAATGACAAATCTTATCAAGGATAAGATTTCCATGGGATAAGGATTATGATATTCCCTTATCAAGAAATAAGGGAAGTGACATAAATAGGAAGACGACTCGGGAATAAGGTACGACGAAAAAACTATTATTAAATCCCTGCCTTCCTTTTAGACCTCCGGGGGACTAACTTGATCGTCGGAGAGTTCTTGGCAGGCACCACACCAGTGCCATCAAGGTTTATCGATCTTCTCCTCTCTTCCTTGCAAGAAAATGGTGTCGATCGGACCGCGTGGATTTCACCCTCAACACTACGTTTCGAAATAAACGTACGTTTACATCTGTATTTCAAAGTAGGACAACCTGATTTATTCATTTAATTATTTATTCTATAAAAACTTGGCAGATGATTTCATAATATATATATATATATATATATATATATATATATATATATATATATATATTTATTTATTTATTTATTACCTTCATGCATGTCTAATCACAAAATAAAATAATATAAATTTAAAAAATTTCCAAAATAAATTAGAGTATTTACAATTATCCATACATATTTTTACAAACTTTTATCCATCTAAAATAAAAAACTAAAATAATTGTTATATATATATATGTGTGTGTGTGTGTGTGTGTGTGTGTGTGTGTGTGTGTGTGTATGTATGTATGGTGTGGGGTCTACTATTTATGAAAATTTGAAAGAATAGAATTAGTAACGTGGCCCACTATTGAGAGGATTTGGTACGGGTTTGAATTATGTGTATTGATTCATTGTATATATAACATTGTAGGTGTGAACACATTAAATACATATAAGCAAGTTGTTTCCTTAGCTTGCTTTGTAAGTTTGGCTTATGGCTATATATATATATATATAAACGAGTTGGTGGGTCATGAAGGTTTCACCTGGTCCATTTTCACCCAACAAGCAGGTTGAGTATGGGTCACAACCCATATTCACCCCACTCATATATGATCATACCCAAACCCAATCCAACCCACCTGTTTGCCACCCCTAGCCTGGACAAACTCCACTCTAAATCTGAGCAATCGCTTAGGTCCGTTTGGTTAGTCGGAATTTGATGGGGAAAGTGAAATGAAATGAAAGTGAAGGAAATGAAAAGAAAATTTAGTTTCTATTATTTATTTGATTAGTATGAATTTTTTTAAAAAAAAAATTATGATAAAATATTATTTCATTAGTTTGGATAGCAAGAAAGTTAAAAGAAAATAATTTTATATAACAAAAATACCCTTACTAATTCAATACAAAATAATATACATAGAATAAAAAATATATATATACAATTGGGTTATATATATATATATATGTCCAAATACAAATTTGGTAATTGAATAGGTTTTTTTGTTTCTTTTACATTTGCCATATATATTAAGACTCTACTACTGTATAAAGATTAGTTCACTTCTTTTTGTGAGTGTGGAGAAGAGTCCTAATACCATGATACAACTCTTACAGGAAACTATAGATTTTCGTGTTTTTTTTTTTTT